CTGGCCACAAGCTGGATGGAAAGGGGGGGGGGGGAGAGAGGCAGTGGCCAAGGAGGTGGGAGGTGTGGGCCCCTCCCCCGGGCGCGGTGGGGCCGGCGCCCGAAAAGGACGCGGCAGAGCCGACCGCGGGAGGGGGAGGCCTCCGGACGGAGACCCTGGCGACGCTAGCTCCCCCTCCGAAGGGGGGGGGGGGGCGCGGGCGGGCCTGGCGGCGGGGCGCCTCACGCGCGACGACACATCTCTGACTGGGGGCGGGATGACTTCCGGCGCAGGGAACGTGCCGGCCCGGCCCCGAGAGGGGGGCCCGGGCATCCTGCCCCCCTCCCCGCCGCAGGCATTGGTCCGCCGGCAATCGGAGCCCGGTCGGGATCTGGCCCTGGCACGCCGCACACAGGCGCAGAGGGGGGGGGGGCACACGCGCACGCACACGGACGCGCCAGCTCGCGCGCGATTCCTCGTGGAGGCGGGCCTCGGCCTGACCCGCGGGCGCCGCCCGTGATCAGTGGAAAGCCGGGAAATATCGCGCCCGTCGGGTCAATTGTGGTTCTGGTGTGTTGGCCCCATTTAGGATGTCGGTATTCGGCCTTCTGGTGGTGCGGTGCTCCCCCGGAACGGGCTTAGGTAGAAATGGCGAACTAATGGCCCACAGCCGCGGAGCTCACGTGCTCGGTGTTGAACTCAGTCAGTTACCCGTGGGGCGTGGCACCGGGGGGGTCAATTGTGGTTCTGGTGTGTTGGCCCCATTTAGGATGTCGGTATTCGGCCTTCTGGTGGTGCGGTGCTCCCCCGGAACGGGCTTAGGTAGAAATGGCGAACTAATGGCCCACAGCCGCGGAGCTCACGTGCTCGGTGTTGAACTCAGTCAGTTACCCGTGGGGCGTGGCACCGGGGGGGCGGGGGCTGTGGGGGTGCCGGGAAACGGGCGCCGCACCACGCCGCCCCTGTCCGAGCGGCAAGCAAAGTTACGCGCTGTGGCGGGCGTAATCTCCTGCGGACCACCGAGATCTACACTCTTCGCCGCCCCTGTCCGAGCGGCAAGCAAAGTTACGCGCTGTGGCGGGCGGCTTCTCCTGCGAGAACAAGGCGCAGGCCCCGCGAGAGGCCCCTCCTCGCGGGAGATGGACACTTGTGGGCGCGCGCGCGCCCGCACACGGGGCCGGTACAGTTGACTGTAACTCTGGCGGGTCCCCGGAGGCGGCGCGATCTTGTCGCCTTTTCAAACGGGCGCATTGGGCAGGGGCTGGCGCGGTGGTGTGCGGGGCCGGGTGGGGCAATGGCCGGAGGCCTGCCCACATGTACAGTTGTGGGTGAAACGCACGCCTAACGGGCACCCGGCCCTGATGGTGACCG